TATAACTGTCCTGACAAGGAGATAACATGCTTCACTATAAATGTTTTTGGACCCGCATTACGTACACTAGAAGGTGTAAAACTAGTTGGATACAAATGAGATTTTGTACAAAAATGAAACGAGAATGCTTAGATTGTGAAATACAAAGCAATACTTGTTGCTCAAAATTTTTCACAAATACCCAGTATTGATTTTGAAGATACAGATTTACTTGTAGTAGATGTAAGTATTTTTCGATATTTAATTAATTTGGTTGCACATGAAAGAGTTAATTTACATCTAATGGATGTTGTTATAGCATATTTGTATGAGACTCTCTAAAGGAATTAATTTGCCCAACAATGGAATTTTTAAAGAAGATTACTCAATCAAGTTGAATAAATCTCTATATGGTCTAACTAGGGATGGCAACAGGCCGGGCCGGGTACGAGTTTCATGATACCTATCCCCGTTGGATATATGATTTTCATCCCCATCCCCGTCCCCATTGGGTATCGGGTATACCCATACCCGTACCTGTCAAAATTTTTATTTTTTATTTTTTGTAAAAAAAAATGATATTTTTAAATTTTTTTTATTATATTATAATTATAATTAGGTTATTTCTCTATCTCATATTATAAGAAATAATCACACATAAAAAATATTAAAATTCTTTAATATAATTAAATTGAAAGTAAGTATTAAATTAAAAATGGGAGCGGGGACGGGTACGGGTACGGGTACGGGGCGGGTAAGTACATACCCGTACCCGTAGCCGATTTAATATATCGGGTTTTATTCGTACCCGTACCCGGTCAAACTGGGTATTCCCAGTCAAAGTCGGGACGGATTCGGGTATTACCCGCGGGTACGGGTATATTTGCCATCTCTAGGTCTAAAACAATCAAAACGTATGTGGTATATTTGTCTTAGTGGATATTTGCTAAAAAAGAATATAAAAGTGATTCAATTTGTTTGTGTATTTTTATAAAAATATCTAAAAATAGATTTTTCATAATTGTGGTTTATGTAGATGACATAAAAATTATTGGAACTCCTAAGGAACTTTTAGAAGTTATAAATTTCCTAAAGAAAGAACTTAAGATGAAAGATCTAGGAAGAATGAAGTTTTTCTTAAGAATATTTTTAAAAAAAAAATAGATTTTGTGCATCTAGAAGCTTATATAACAAAAGTGCTTCAAAGGTTCTATATGTATAAATCACACCATTGTGTACTCCAATAGTTGTAAGATCTTTAAATATTAATAATGATACTTTTAGACCTCAAGAAAATGATAAAGAACTACTTAGTCTTTCAGTATCATATCTTCTTAGTGTTATATTAACACTGATAATCTTACTAATTATATACAACCTAATATAACATTTATTGTTAATTATACATCTAATAAAGACATTGAGATGTAGTTAAGCAAATTCTCCATTATCTTAAAGGTGCAATGGATTTGGTATGGTTTTATTCAAATGTTTCCAAGTCAAAACTAATTGGTTACATAGAGGCCGGCAAGTTATTTCTCATATCCTCATATTGATATATCTCAAACAATATATATGTCTCAAGGTTTGTTATAGTCATTTCATGGCGATTTGTAGAACAAACCATATGAACCACTTCATATAATTGTGCATAAATTTTAATGTTACATGGACAAGTCAAGATGTGTTTGGCTAAGATTTGTGATTCAACATGTAAGAGAAACCAAAGAATTATCTTAAAAAAATGATATTGACAATCATATGTGAAGATAATATTGCTTAATTGAAAGGATGCGTTAAAGGAGATAAAATAAAGCATGTTTTACCAAAAATCTTTTTTATTTATGATTTTCAAAAGAAAAGTGATATAAATATTTAGTAGATTCGCTCATGTGACAATTTAGCAAGTCTTTTTATAAAGTCATTATCAAAAACAGTTTTTAAGCAATTGATACTTGAGATTGAACTTTGTTATCTTAAAGTTAATTGTATGCAAGTGGGGGGAAATAAATATGTATTAAAGAATGATGTACTAATTTCCTAAGGAGACATATTCTTAAATAATACACATTCAAGGAAGAATGTTATAAATAATTAATTGATGACTTAGTTTGTAATTGTCCATATTTACCATGCTATTACTATTCATATTTCTATAATGTATTATCAAATTATTTATAAATGTTTAATTATAATATGGACTTATAAAATAGCTAGTCTATTTTTAAAAATAATAAATGAGTTTGCTCATTATTAAATCATGATGTTATTTGTTAATTATTGTCTTTTCATATCAATTAAGAGATTAAATTCTTTACATTTTGATAAATTTTTTTATCCTATTAAATATATTCATAATTATAATGAAAATGTCTTGCTTTCTTTATTAAAATATCCAATTATCAACTTGAATTGTCTTTTTCTTATTTTTAAGCCTATTCGTCAATCAACATAAATGATTAGATCTTGAAGATATTATACCACCTCATAATAATTAAAGAAGTATACTATTAATTTTATTTACATACCCTTTTTCTGCATTATACACTTTTATTCTATTGTTATATATATTTTTTCTGTCTTTTTTTTTTATAAGAAATAAATTATAAGATATATTATTGCTTTTTTTTTTTTATATATAAAAAGACAAGAAGTAATATATATATATATATATATATATATATATATATTTT